GGTTAAAATTGTCCCAAGTTTAATTGTTTAAGGTTAAAAAGTATCTAATATGAATTTGGGATTTAAATCACCCTTGGACCTATAGTTTAGGTTCCAAATTGCATATTAATTCATCTAAAAATCTTTGAGGTGCATTCTAATTATGGGATTCATTATTGTGATTGAAGAAAGCGTTCGGCTGAACATATATGTATGAATTATTCTAATCATATAAACACATATCATGTAAATTTTATTGTTGAATATGATTTTACCTTTTTTGAAATCATTTTTGTACCACATAGAATTTTATATTTCCAAATTAAAATTATTAATTAATTACTTGGCCTATATAGAAAAATACATAAAAAATATTATTTTCAGATAAAACGTTATTACACTATGAAGTGCAAAATTTGTGCGATAGGCTTTTTTTTTTTTTTGTTTTTTGTGACTGAAAATTTGTGCAATAGTTCACTCCAAAACTACCTGGCAACCAATTTCCTTTGAGGTCAGGTCAGACTCGCATAAGGCTGACATTTTTTGTAAATTGGCTTGGGGATTATAAACGCTATTGTTCACGATGTTTCAAGATTAAGAGACAAAATGTTTACCACTGACAGTTGGTCTAGTTGGAAATAATTTGATTTATAATTCATAAGGTCATAAGTTCAAATCTCTATTGATGTAATGTCACACCTCAAAAACAGAGGGTAACCGGTATGGGATGTGGACTATATCACACATTTCTTAAGCCCTAAATTGAAATTTTTTTTTTTTCATTTTAAAACATAATTGAATCTGTACTGAAAATTATAACATATTTAATAAAATTATTATATTGAAAATTTCAATATTTTTATAGAAATTTTGGTAAAATCTTCCTAATAAATAGGATCCCCCAAAAATTTTTAATCTATCAATATTTCACACAAAATATAACATCAATCAGAAGCTTAACTCCTTCCAACCAGCAAACAATATATACCATAATAGAAACCTAGCTATAGGCTATGTGGAGCTAACTAACCTTACTTTCAAAATAAAATACATCAGTTCAAATATTTATGTCAAAAGGAGATAATACTAAGCGAAATACCACCACCCAGAACAATTTTTTGCCCTTTGAATGTCAATAGTAGGATCAGCACCAGTTAATGAATTTAAGACTAAATAAGTTTCTAGTGAATAGCATCCCAATAATAAATAACTAAATATGTATAAAAAGAAAGTTTAACATAATTACATGTGTTAGAAATAAAAATTTTCGCAAACAAATATAAAATAAACTTCGTCAAAAAGGACTTTATGTAACTTTAAATAAATTCCTGATTCATTAAAGTATCATATCAAACATCATTATCATATACTTTCAATAAAGTAAATAATTACATTAAATAATTATAAATATGTCACTAATCAAAATCAATGAAAAATAAGTTTATCAAATAATTAAAAAATCATAATTATAGGGATTTATCATAGCAAATAACAAACGTGGATACACAATCCAGGAGGGTAAATAACCAAACGTGACTTATGCCACGAAGACAAACGTGGACACACAGTCCACGAAGGAAGTAACCAAATGCAACTGGAACTACGAAACAAACGTGGATACACAGTTCACAAGAGTAATGCTAATCAAATGCGGCTTGAAGTCACGAAACAAACGTGAGTACGATACTCACGAACTACCATCCCTCCGTTCCATGTGCGTTGACTATCGCACAAGGCTAGTACCTCTTATAAATACCCTGCTAGTTAGGTGTACCATGGTGCACCTAACGGAACTGCCGTTAGCAACCAGTGTTCTGTATAAAGTTCCATTCAAATTCGTTTTCAAATATGCAAGAAAATTATCAATTTCACAATAAAATTTTCACTTTCAAAGTCAAACTCGTATGAATCATTCTTTATATCAATCCAGTGTTTGATAGAACAAAATCTCATAATCAAAGTCTAAACTTATATTTATTAATTAATTAAAATTTTAAAACTGGTAAAGGTAATTTCTCAAAATTAAGAAGTTTAATAAATAAACTATTTAATAACCATATCGTTGTTAATTAAAATTTTTTTGCAAACAAGTATACTATTATAGAAAGAAAATCTTTATTGAAAGTTGGGACGCTATCCACTTACCTGAAAAACTCACAAGATGAAAATTTGCTCCTTTTGAACATCTCTTAGTTGCCTTTTGGCTACTCTAATTACCTAAATAAGAAGAATGAATAACTTTATTTAATGATAACTCCATTTCATATACTACCAATAAAAGTTATCAACCTATTATCTTGTCTAGAAATTATTAAATCTTTTTTAAATCAGCATTTGTCCCTAACCTAGCGACCATATTTAAAATATTTTATTTCTTTCTCTAGCTAGCCAATAATGATATCTTTATGTTGCACTCATACCATCTTTTCTTGCTAACGAGCAAATGATTTATCATTTGTAATCATCAACCATACAATGCCCTAATATCTAGTTTGTCTCACAGTAGCTTCACAGTCAAAATTCTTCACCAAACTCAAGTAAATTCCATAAATAATTAACCTTCAAACCAAATATGTCTTTTTTCTCTTTCAATCGCCTTATCATATACAATAAAATTTTATTAGGCTTCCTACAAATCCAAAAACTTCATCCCGACGTTGCCACAACCTTACATAGATATTTCAAAGATCAATACATAAATAGCAATTTGGTACTTGAATTATTAATGAAAATATTCTTTTTAAAATCTCTAATTCTAATTCCAACTTTCTTTCAAGCATTTTAGCGAACATTTTATATGCATTAAAACTCAAATAAATACCAAACCTCTTCCTCATAATTATGCTTTCCAACATTTTTTCAAATATCAATATATAGATAAAACATGCTCCTCAAACCCCCTTTTTTAACAAGGGAAAAAATAGCTTTTAACTTTAAGAATAAAACCCAAACTCACATTCATCTCCATTAATCATAACCCAAAAAAAAACCATACTGGAATTATTTAATGAAAATGTTTAACTAAGTTTTAAATTTCAGATTAATCCAATCCCCTCCCTACACAATCATATACGGTAGTTGAACAAGGAAAAATTCACAACCATTTTTCATAAATATATTTTTTCCAATGGCAACATAAGATTAACCAAGCTTCTCCTTCAACATAAATCCACTTTAATGCTTAAATAAAATTAAATCTCCATCCACATTACTTTCAGCAGCAAAGAAAGGAGGGAGAAAATTCTACAATCTCAGCCAACAATGCACACCAAGCAATAAGGAAGAGGAGGATTGAAATGACTAACCTTGGATCATTAACGACACATAAAGGAACGAGAGAGAAAGAAGATAATAGCACTGAACAGGGGAAGCACAAAGGAATTATAGTTCTAACGAGGATGCTAAAGTAGCGACAGAAAATGGCCAAGCACTCACCGGAACCACCTGCAATGACAAACAGACAGGACTCCAACAACGATGTCGATGAACAGACAAGTTGGATGACTAGCTAAGTTGAGCAATCTGTGACGCAAAACAGGCGAGATGACAGTGTTGACGTGAAGCATGGAAGGAAGAATTTCGATGCCCCTACAGCCATAGCCATACCCACGAATGCAACAGCAACTTGAAGCAAGAAGAAGGGAAGCTGTCGCATAAATAGAGAAGAGTGGGGAAGAAAAAGAACAGTCGGCGATGCGGATGAAGAATGGATGAACGAGTTAGGCAAAGATTACCAATAGTGAACGCTGTGAAATAAGATGGAGAAGACAACGCGTGGGCCCTTAGCATCAGTCGATCATGGTGATTGCATACCCAAGTCTGTGGACATGTTGGAACGGAGAAGGACAGAGATGAAAGTTTCCAGAATTCTCTCCCTCTCTCTCATCGGTTCTCTCGTTAAAATGACAGAAGAAGAAGAAAAATCTGACTTGAAAAAAAGGGAGGATTGAGAAAATTATAAACATGGACCCAACTTTTTTTTATATATTATAACATAAGAGACAAGATATTTTCTCTCTTTGTTTTTTTTTTTGAGAAATTTTCTCATAACCATGATAAAATAAAATTAAAAGAATTTGAATTTTGAACTTTAAATCTTTTAGTAAGTTGCTAGCTTAAGTTCTAATAAATAACCATCGTCTATTTGTTAAATTGAAACAATTAAATAAAATATCAATTAAAAAAAATTTATTTAATTCAAAATTTATAGTCATTACATGTGAGGATTATATTTGTGGATAATTTATAATTATCTCTCTACGCTTTTTGAACCTAAAGACATACCCTAGCTCTAGTAAGTTTTTAGGAGCTAACTCACCTAAACTTTCTTAAAATATTAATGTATTAATTAAATACTACACTAAATTAATGATATATTTGCCACATTTACAAAAAAATAATAATAATAAACGTGGCACTACTCCAGCTTGAACTTGATTATTAATTCAACGTATAATATAATCCATGAATGAAGAAATTTTTGCATGAACACAATGTATCACATTGTTAATGCTCTATCTAATAAAACATTATGTTGCACTAGTTAAATCGAATAAAATCTTATGTATTATTTTCAATGATTTTATTTTTGGTAATAGAATGTTTCTTTAACTTTTTTTGTTTTCTATCTAGCTTTATCATCATTAATGACAAAATTAATTTATATTTACAATCATATGATATAACATGTTTTTATTTGATAAAGCATGGATCACATGATGATATACTAGGTCCATGTAAGAATTTCTCATATGGAACCATCACTGTTACTTTGTAACTACTTAGTTTTAATTATTCAAGTCGCTCGGACGTTAATTAGAAGATGGAATATTGCCAAAGTTTTATATAATCTCATTTACCAATGTATCAATATGATTATGATTATAAAATAAATCTAAAGAAATATAAAATTTTATACTAGGGAAAACAATTTAAGGCTTTTATTTAAAATATATGATAGAGTTGAGTTCATAATAATTCCCTCGATCACAACATATCAAATAAGAAGTACAAACAATAGAAGTTGACAATAGAACTACGTAACAAGTGTACTACTAGTTTAAATGTTTGGGACATAAGCCCAAGCATTGAGAGAGCAAACTCCATTTGGTAAATTTGTGTTCCTCTGGATAAAGAAGTATCCATTCATTCCCCAAGTATCTCCCCATGAGTTCTTCACAATCCAATAATCTGTGCCATCTTTTGAATCATATCCAACGATCAAAGCAATATGAGTCACACCAGTTGAATCCTTGGGGCAATTCTCACCATCATAAATTCCCTAGCCAAGTAAACAAATTAGTCAATGGTGTGTTTGAATTAACATGGATTTGGATCAAATATTTCATTTGGATACACAAAAATTCAATTTTTATTATATTTCATTTGTAATTTTAAATTCTTTTTGCACTCTAGTCATTTGAAATTTTAATCACTTTAAAATTTTCATTTTTCTTATATTTTTACTATTGATATCTCTATGACTTCATATCTTTTCTTATATATTTTTCTCGTCTCTTATTGATTGAAAAATGGAGATATATTTTTTGTTTTTGTTTTGAATTTCAACTTATCTCTCTTTTTTTATTCAATTTTTTTAAATTATCCAAATAAATAATTTTAAATACATTAATTTAAAATGGGATATTTTAAATATGAAATCCAAATCCAAATCTACCAATCTAAACGTTACCTAAACGTAATTAGGGGAAACTGAAGATTGATATATTCTGTTCCAAGAAATTAAACAAGCTGTCAATATCAAGTTTAGAATTTAAGCTTTGGAAGATCATAAAGGACGATGTAAGTAATGATATTATGTTTTCTGATATGCACATAATTATTAAACATCGGTCAATTAATTAACTACAACAACAACAACAACAAAAATACACACACACACACAACAGAGACTGAATGATAACTGATATAAGACTTACACCCTCATAAAACTGAAGATCTGTTGCATTGAAAGCCACAGTTACAGGCTGCTTAGAAGTGGCACACTTGAGAGCATCATCGGATTGTGGTACTTGAGTATATTTACTAATTTTGACGACTTTGTCTCCATCATGCTGTTGAAACATATAGAAACCAGAATTTAGAAAACGATACGATATCAAAGTACTTTTAACTTTCCATTTTTAAGCTTTTTTTTTTTTTTAATGACATTCCAAGTCTTGTTGACGCAACCAATACAATCTCATTTTGGGACTCAGAAGTCAGAAGTGTTCACCTAAGAGAAACATGGCTCTAAAACCACTGGCTAGGAATGGAAAGCAGCTACCTAAAAATGAGAGGGAGGGCAAGAATAATAGAAAGATACCACATCTTAATTTAAAATTTCAAGACTTGAATTTATGGGTCATTCCATTTATTATATATTACATATTAATCTCAATTCTATCCCATGTGAGACTTCTCACATCATTTCAAATCACTCAAACTCAGATTTCCTAACATAAGGTTAGTCACAATGTTAATATCTAATGAATAGTTTGCATAACTCACAAATACATAAACATATAACATGAGAAAGGAAACAAACCATGTTGGCTTTGCAAGCACCCTTCTGGGCAACATAAGGATAATTATCTTCTTCACTAATTCCTCCATTTTGGATAACCCATTCAAAGGCATAATGCGACCATCCACCTGCACAACCATGGCTTGAGGTGTCGCAGTCTACGAGTTCTTGTTCTGAAAGCCTAAAAAGTTTCCCTGTGGATATTGCATGAATTGATTCCATGGCTCCAGTGGCTGCAAATGCCCAACAACTTCCTGCAAACAATGAAACAATAATCTATCAGTTGATTGACATCTTTTCATTTATTCAAATTCAAAAACCAAGATTAGTGAATGTCGTTCTATGTGTTTCAAGTATATACCAATATGCTAGGAAGGGGCAAGAGTAATAGAAGGATACTCCATCTTAACTCAGAAAGCTCAAGTTTATAGGTTCATCCTCTTTAGTATAACACTAGTTATTAAGCATACTTTAACTGATGTGGGACTTTCCATATCGTTTAAAGTATATTCACACTTGGACAACCTAACAAGCAACTTACCACAACTTTGTTGGTTCTTAACTTCAGTCACAACTCCTTGCTTTCTCCAATCCCAGGTAGCAGGTGGTGCACACGAGTCATCTTGTTGGACATAGTCTGACCTCCCGATGGTGGTCGCCGGCATCTCTAGTGGATGTAAGTACATTTGCCTAAACTCCTCAGGACTCATATCAGCAAACTTGTTGAGGCCCAAATGATATCCAGAGGGAGACTTTGATCTCCTAGAATTAGTCTCTCTGATATACTTCAGATTCCTTCTGAAAATATCGTATCTTGCTTCACTCTCTTCAGAATTTGAGTAGATTCTTCCATGCTGCTTCATCCATTGCTGGAACAATCCAAGATCTTGTTCTCCCTCTGATGGTGAAACGGATTTTTTAGTAGAGAATCCTGAGGAGAGACAAATTAGGAGAGAACACCATACCAAAGAATGAAGATACAACTTCGTATTGTAGAAAACCACCATGCTTTGTTTTGTGGTTTCAAATACTGATAACTAAAACTTAAAATAAGCTTGCATGAAGATGAAATGAGCGATAAGGTATATATAATGCAACAACGGTGGAGCTAATTTTCTATATATTGTTCAGAAAAAGCGTGTGAAATGGTATGTATATTTTTCTCATTGACTGGTATTATGCATCACAGTTTCTACGAAGGTTCATTAGGGGAAGATTTAAGTATTAGCCTTAAATACTTGATATATACTTTCATCCAATCAAATCAAGATATTGGATTTTAATGTGTTAATAATTTTAATAATATTAATAATAAGAATTTGTTATAGAATAAATAATTTATAAAATATATGAATGTCTTGATTTAATTAGAAACAAGCATTTTAAGTATATTATAAGGCTAAGTATATAACTTTTTTCTTCTTCATTATTATATCGTCCCTTTTCAGTTAACTCCAGCATCTTTTGTATTTGATTCACTGAGATCTATCAATGAAAATTAAAATTACATCCTTGTAAGTAAATATCATAATAACTTAAAAATGGGGAAAATTACAAATAATGACCTTTAAATATTACAAATAACTAATCAGGGCCATTAATTATTACTTAAATTTTAGGACCGTGGTCTTTTTGTAGTTTTAAAAATAATACTTCGACCAAAATTCCCACATCTGAAATGCCAACTTAAAATTCGCTAATGCTAAAATCACTTTAATTATTGAGTTGAAATTTTAGTTGAATGAGATTATGAAATCACTTTATTTGAATTAAATTGGAAAACTTTTTACTTACAATTGGTCAACTTCAAATTTGTTGGTGCTGAAATCATTTTACCTGGGTTCGAAATTTTAGTTGTGCAGGTTATGAAATCACTTTATTTGAGTTGGAAATGTTTTTACTCCCAGATTTGCAATCAACTTGCTTAAAATTTGCTAATGCTGAAATCACTTTACATAAGTTGAAAAATTAGTTGAAGGAGGTTATGAAATTACTTTATTTAAGTTGAAAAATATTTACTCCCAAACTTGCAAACTTGGTCACCACATAAAAAAATGCATGCCATTGTTGGTTCACATAATAAAATAAATAAATCTCCCAAAAATTTTGGAAAAGCATGTGAGGGAGATCATTGAACTGAAAAACAAGACTCTAATTTAATTCTTTCACAACAAATGAGACTTAATTTGTTTAATGGTGTAAAGTTATTTATACTTGGTGTGATAAAATGTTCCAAAATTTTAATTTATTTTGGCAAATAAAAGTTGAACCTAGGTTAATTCTAAGAGTAAATAAGACTAGCTAGGATACGCCTTAAAGCCTAAAAAAAATTATAGAATATTTAATACAGTGGTCCTCACATGGTAAAGGGATTTTAATCTATATTTTTGTAGTGTATATTATCGGGGAAATGATACTTGGACCCCAAAAAAATGAAATTAATGATATTAGGTGTTTTTTTTGTTGTTAAAGGATAAAATTACAAACACCGGTAAACAATTACAAATATGAGAGTCTGAGTTTTGTAGTTCGATGAGAGTGTCTTATAAAATGAAAATGTCTATTTTATCAAGAAAAACTCATTCCATATCCTTAACCCAAAACAAAACAATTTGGTTCACTTAAACTTGACCCAAAAGGAGAGGCATTCCTCATCCGCAATTGGTGCTCTGTGGATAAATCACTTTCAAGGCCCTCACCGTTTGATTTTTGGAAAAGAAGGTCGTACGTCACCGTTTTTGATACGCTTTATTTTGTATGACCCAAGGGAAAGGGAACTGTTGAATGCAATTTCACATATTCTGATTAGCTTACGTGTTATCAATAAACGACCTAAGTTAGTGGAAAGTGTTAGTCTTTTATAATGTGACAAACTAAGTTTCAAATATTTGCTGGAAGAATAAGTGCTTACATTTAGTGCCCGATCTTGCCTCGAACATAATTGCTTCCATTTGTGAGCAATTAAAAACAATAATCAACCTTACAAACCACGTATAAACATGGAAGAATTAAAAGAATATAAAATTAACAAAATTATTTTGTTGGTTAATTACTAATAGACCTTAAAAACATGTAAAAATATTGAACTACAACTTGTTAATCATTAAAGAGCACACAACTTGTTAAAATATGAACTACAATTTATTAAAATTTGAATTACAACTTGTCCTGGACGCCTGCCGTCCATTCACATCACTTTCTGTGCCCATGACAATGGTGGAGAGGTAATTTTTTTTTTTCAAATACTTATAAATGAAGGGTATTTTAGTTATTAAGCAACAAAACGTAATTTCAGTTTATTCCATTAATCTGCACTGTAATTTTATATTCGTTTAGTTCATTCATGCTAATATGTGGTTTCAGGTGTCCTTTATTGACATTCTCCCTTTAAAATAACAGAATAGAATTATTTTTGAATTAAGTTTGTTTTGGCCAGAATATTTTGAGTGATTTTATTTTGTGAAATTTTTGAATGAAATTTAACCGTTGTTCGGCCATTTGTATTGTTTAAATCTGTTTAGTAATAAAAGAATAAAGGGAAAATGACAGAAATCCCACAAATATATTATGCATTTCAAAAGACACCATTGTTATTTATATATATATATATATATATATAACAATGATGTCTTGTGAAATGCATAATTCTTCTCTAGTCTCCAGTCCTTTCTGATTAACATAAATATTTTTGATAAAATAATTAAAAATACCCTTAGTTTAAACTAAAGTAGTAATTGTTTGTCCGTTTTAGTTATTACCTGAAGAAAAGTAGTTATTGTTTGAATTAAAGTAATTTAGAATATTTACAATACTTTGACTAAGTAAATAAAAAATTTGCACCTAGGAAATTGTAATTGTATGTTCTGTTTTAATTATTGTCAAAAGAAAAATAGTTATTGAGTAAACTAAAATAATTACAGATATTTACAATGCTCAAACTTTAGTGAATAAAAATTTTTCACAAAAAAAGTTGTAGTTTTTTTTAGGGGGATGTTTTTTGTCTTTTTCCTGGAATAAATATAGAAGCCCGATTGATTGAAGGAGATATAATGATAGCTAGTTCTCAAATAATTAAATTAAGGGGGAATAACAACTAAGTCTTAAGGGGATCAATTAATTCAAGTTAAGTTCTAATAAATTTTAAAATATTAACAAAGTCCCTTGGTCCTTCAGTAATAATAAGTTTAATAGGGATTTGCAAACATTTGCAAGTTTGATTCCTAATTTTGCAACTTTATTATGCTATATTTTCAAGTTGTTTTTCAAATTTAAACAGGAAACAAAAATGGTCATCCTTAATGTTGGGAAATATAAAGCCTAATGGTTTTAAGAATTTGCAAGTTTGACTCCCGATTTTACAACTTATTTTTTTAATTTTACTAGAGAACACATCTATCATTCCCCCTTAGATTAATAACAATAAGGTCTCTAACAAAATTTTCCAAAAAAATGAATTATGAATATCCATTCAAACATTACTTGCTAGAATTTAAGATAAAATCTGAAAGTTATATCTAAAACTTAAATGTTTTATCTATAATTAAAATTTTTAAATTTGTATTTGTTTGGATTAATATTTGCAGGTTATTTTTCAAAAAATATAATCACAAGTGTAGCTGTCATGAATTCAGATTTTTGGGATGTGCTTATCATTCTCTCTTGATTGAACCGTGATTGAAGTGATCAAAGGTGAACCGCGATCGCAGATGAACCGTACTTTCGATTAATCAAACTAGATGGATATTCCCTCTAATTGTTAATTGATGAAAGAAATCTTTGTTTTCTTCCGCTTCAAGCCCCAAAAAATTCAACTATGATCGCCTTACAGTCTGTGATTGAACTGACTTCTTCATAACGTTGAAGAGAATGTGTGTGTGTGTGTGTTGACATGATTCTCGGTTATTAATTTTTTTTAAAGAATTAATCCATTGCGTGGCTAATATGTGTTTTTTTTTTTTGCCAAAATAATATGGTTTTTTCCCCTAAAAGTAAAACAACTTTTAAGAGGATCAAAATAATACATTTTACACCAATCATTTACAACAAAATAAAATATATTATTTATAAGTCACCTTTTATAGAAAGGGTTCCCTTATATAGTTAATACCTATAGGGAAAACCTAAACTACTCAAGTAGCCCTAATTGAAAACTGTATAAAAAGGCCCAAAAATATAAGTAACTAGAGTTTTCAAAATCAGTTCTCGACTTGATCTTTAAGATTGGCCAGAGTCTTTTATAAAAAGTAATCTCCATCAATAATTTCCAAATTAGAACCAAGTAAATCTGTATAAATAAAATTAAATTAAATAGCACATTCTCAAATGTATTAAATAAAAATTAATTAGTTTCAAAATTCAAGAATTTAGCAATTAAAATTCATAAATTGCAAATTGGCTAATAAAATCAAATATTGGGAAAATATTGAGGTACACCAAGTGCATCACGTTATTTGTAGTTTGTCCAATTAAAATACTCTAAGTAATATAAATAAAATTTTGTGTGATATTTTTTTAATTAATTTTATTTTTATAATAGAATGTACACTTAATTTCTTATCTTTTCTTTCTCTACCATCATTAATATCAAAATTAATATATATTTAATGTCATCTAACTGTCATGTTTTTATTAAACAGATAAAAAATGACATGATACAAATAGTCTGCCTAAGTATTTCTCTCAAATATTGTTCAATTAAACTCAATTACTTGACCTAAACATTAAGAAGTCTAGATTAAGAGGATAAATACATATTAAAACGTGATTTAGCAAATGTGAAGCAATTTGTCCCTCTGCATTTATCATGCCAATCATGTATTCATCAATTTAAAAACAATATATCAACTCGAACTAGCGATCAACTAGCAATATTGATGAATTAACTGTTTTTGTTAATAGAAGAATTAAAATTTTTGCCCTGGCTGAAAAGAAGAATTAAAATTTTTGTTGATTAAAAAAAATATCTTTGCCTTCTTCCACGTCATGCAAGACGCGTAAGTCTCAAGAAAGGTCATTATTATCGCTTACAAGTTACAGTCTGTATTTGAAAGAAAATTAGAGGAAAGACTATTTCTCCAGATCAGCTAAACTAATAAATATCAGTACTTTGATTGTTTCAAAATGATAATTGGATTACTGTTGGCAAAAAAAAAAAGGATAATTGGATTACATGTTGATCAATATGTTTTGAAATTTAATCTTGAGTGTTGCTAACCCATACTTTGGGTAAGAACAAGGATCTTTGATTAGATTGCTGTCTACTTCAGTACGGTCAGGTCAAAGTTTATCATCTTTGAAAATATATATATATATACACTCCTTTTGTCTCATTTATAAATTACATTTTACAAAATTTATTTAATTTTATTTATAAATTATGGTGCAATTTTTTAAGTAATTTTAAAAATATTACTCTTCATGAAAACAGAAGTAACATGATATTATTTTTTAAATTTGTTATATAACAACATATTTAAAATTCTACATATTTTTATTTTTATATTTTTTTATATTAATATTGATGAGGTTAGTAGAAATAATTTATAAAAAAATTTACAAAATACATAACTGTATAATTTATACGTTATTGTTTAAATTGTCAATGTCTCAAACTACTACGGAGCAGGTAAGTTTGGCACGGTGGGACAATTGGAATTGTACTCAAAATACTTGAATTATAAAATAGATTATATAATCAACCTGGACCCTAAAATTTTTGGATTTTTAAATTTATTCAGGCAAGCCTAAATATCTAAATTTTAAAAAATTATTTTATTTTAATATTTTATTTTTAAAATCAATTTCAATTTTTATATTAAAAATTAAGATTTTTCAAGCAATAATGAGACACCTTTTTTCTATCTTTATGAAAGTAAATCCAAGCATTGAAAGAGTAAAATGAAATTATATGAAATATCCTCTTATATTTATGTTTCATTAATATTTTCAAAAATATTCAAAACAAGTAATTATTAGAACATTAAAACTTCATTTAGAAGCAATGTGAAATATTCATATTGGGAGTCTGAAAAAGGATTTGTGAGTGTTAAGTGAAAGTTGAAAATAAGGGTTAATTTCAATATATTAATAATAATGAAAAGAATTCAGAGTGTTCGAGGATTTTTCTCGGACAACCCAAATAAGCTTGAAATAAAATATATTTTTTAAATTTCTAAATTTGGCTCTAAGATTTTTCGTTTGGTAGAATCTATCATCTTTGATAAAATTAACTATAATTTATACCTTGTTGTTTAAAGTGTTAATGTCTCAAATTAATTACTACTATCAATTTATGCATGTGGACGACACATAAGGGAGGGCCATTAATACTTCGTTTTCTATGAATATGAACTTTCTTTTGTCGTTTTCCATTTGTTTGGGTCATCAACAGACGGTGACGAACTCTAAGGTCAAATTCTTAATTTTTACTCCCTCCCTTTTTAAATTATAAAACTTCTTTAGACAAAATCTTAATAAATCTCATTAAATATACTTAACAATCTTATTTTTTTCAAAACAAAAATATAAACATCTAAAAATATCATTTATTTAATATACTGAAAAGAGATAGGGATGACGATTAAAGAGAGAGAAAAAAAATAATATTGGAACAAGCCTATTTAATAAAATCTTAATATTCTCAAATTGTCTTATATTTTGAAATGTCAAATCCATTCTAAGAATGTCTTATAATTTAAGATGGAGAGAGTATTTCTTAGGTTTTTCATGAGAGCAAATTCCTAAAGGAAGTCAATTTTCGCAAGCCACGAACTAATGGTGTGAAGAATACCCAATACAAGACATTTCGGCTGCAGCCGTTGCTACAAGACTCAATTCATCAGGACCTGAGAATTGCCATGTCGAAATTTGCTAACCTGCTAGTTATTGTTTCGAGTATTTTATTTTCCAAATATTCAAATGTCTGTTCCTGGACTTTATCATTTATGTTTTAATTAATATTCATTGATATTCATCAGGAACATAATTGGCATGAATTTTTTATAGGTTATTTAAGTGCAATTTTATGGATCTTTTTGTTATTTTTGAGACTCTTTTTTATAAGTTTTAAGTCCGCCAAAGTTAATTTTTTTAACAATGACATGCTGAATGTATTTTTTTAAGGTTAAAGCAAAAAATTGCATTGCATGTGAGTTTATGATATCAAATGTTCCTAAATAAATAATTGAGAGGTAAAAATGTCCCATAATTAATCCATTAAAATTGCTCATCATCTGTCACGGAACTCAATTATACGACACGTCGTGTGCGAACATTATATCCCATTAATTTGGTTTCCATACGATCACTAATTCAGCGGATCACTAACAAGATAACACATGAACGATTAATTGCAATAGTTTTACTTTTACACGATCTCGTTTACCAATGTACCAATTTGACTATATAATTATAATAATAAATGCAAAAAGGCCATAACATATTCTAGTATAGTTGATAATTCATGACTTTTTTGTTTAAAACTTATAATGGAGTTGAGTTCATCATAACAATAAGAAACGAGAAATTGACTAGCTATAAGTTTGCCAGCTAGTGCACTAGCCTATAAGTTTATATGGAGGGGAAATAAGCATTAGTATTGATAGCACAAACTCCAGTTGGTGAATTTGTGTTCCTGGTGATGAAGAAGTAACCATTTTGTCCCCAATTTTGACCCCATGAGTTCTTCACAGTCCAGTAATCTTTTCCATCTTGCGAACCATATCCAACAATCAAAACTGCATGATTTGTGTAAGTGGAACCCATCTCGCAATTCTCTCCTTCAAAAATTCCCTGACATGATGGTACAATTATTAGGAAATGAGTAAGTTTCTCTTACATATATACACACACTATAGAAAGCCTCGCACAATATTATCTCAGTAAAAACACATTAAAGATTAAATGAAGATAGCTAGGCTGAGATCAGGAGACTTACTTCCTTATAAAATTGAAGATATGTTGCATCCATAGACACAGTAATAGGCTGCTGGGCAGTGGCACACAAGAGAGCATCATCTGATTGTTGTACTTTCGTATAGCTACTAATTTTCACGACTCTGCCTCCATTTTGCTTAAGAAACACATTGAAACCTCTAATTAGACAGAGAAGATATCATTGCTGCTGTTAATGTTATTGTGTGTGCGAGAGAGAGAGAGAGAGAGAGAGAGAGAGAGAGAGAGGAAACAAACCATGTTGGCTCTGCAAGTGCCCTGTTGATCTTCATAAGGATAACTATTTTCTTCACTAATTCCATCATTTCTGATAACATATTCAAAGGCAGTGCGGGTAAATCCACCTGAACAACCTTGGCTCACTGTATCGCAATCTAAAAGTTGTTGTTCAGAAAGGGAAATAAGTTCCCCAGTCTTGATTGCATGTATTGATTCAATGGCTCCAACGGTTCCAAATGCCCAGCAACATCCTAAGAACGATGAAACATTATTATACTAATGATGATTCTATTTGCATTGTGTACGAGAAATAAATGACTGGCTTCAATTAAGAATACTTCTTCTGGACCACAATATATATCATTAATAACTAATTCACATTTTATGAAAAATGTTAGTTGGAATCTTATTTTTTTAAAAAAATATCCATATCTTTATATTTATGCCATTGAATTTTCCTAATAACACTTGTACGGTCCATAAATATGGAGCATTTATATTTTAACCAAGAGCTGTTTCTAGAAAGCGACTTATATTTTGGTCAGAAAAGGAGTATATCCATACTATAGTATATATTAAGTTATAATTAAAGTGGTTTGAACAAATAAAGACAACTCACCACATTCCTTTTGGTTTTTAACTGGAGTCACAGCACTTGTTCTCCAATCCACCGAAGCAGGTGGTTGACAGGAGTCCTGCTGCACTTAGTCCGACCTCGCGGTGGTGGCAGCGGTGGTTTTCGGGTCGGTGGTGGTCGGTGTTGGCAACTGACGTAAGTAGACTCTCTTAAACTCCTCAGGACTCATATCAGCAAACTTGTTGAGTCCCAAACGATACCCAGGTCTCTTAGCGTTCGTCTCTGTGATATACTTCAGATTGTTTCGAAATGTCTGGTATCTAATTTCACTCTCTTCAGAGTTTGGATAGATTTTTCCATGCTCCTCAGTCCATTGTTGGAATATTCTAAACTGTTCTTCTTCTTTTGAAGAAAGAGCAGAAGCAGAATGGTCAGGAGGGAATCCTGAAGAGAGATATATTATAATGGAAAACCAGACCAAGAAATGAAGGAAGAACATTTTAGAAATGCAAAAAGCCATGCTTGTTTGTAGTTTCAGATACTGAGAGATGAAACTTCAAATAAGCTTGCATGGAAGTGAGACCAACGATGAGGTATATATAGTGCGATTCCTGTTACCTGTGAAGGAAAAAGACAAAAATTATTGACTCTTTTTATTTCCTATTTGACTTATATTTAATATCATATTTTCCATCCATATAGATATATATATATATATAAATTCCAGCTAGACCTTATAATTTAGATTTCATCCATATGATTCATGTCGATTGTATGGAATGGTTGTTCCTTTGTTGTTTGTTACGTCCTATACAGGTTTAATCAAAAAAATCTGAAAATAATAAAAACTGATATAATTTTTCATCCATTTGTTTATGGCGTCCGAACAACACGTCCCGTAATTGGTGCTTTATGGACTCTTTTCAATGCCATTACTGTTTATAGTCTACAACTCTTTTTCATGTTTAGACTGTCACGTGTGTCACGGAGAAGAATGACTGTGTCATTAATCCTGGATTTTTAAAATTCAATATACCTTTAATTTCAAATGAATAACTAGGATAAAAAATAATATCAATCTTGATCTTTTACCTTATGAAAGAAAGTAATCGTTTAACGCCTGTCATGTTGAGCGAGACTTCTATATAATTTTTTTTAAAAAAATGTTTATATACTATAAAGTAACTGATCATGAATAAACAATAATTTAGTTTTATGGTTATAGAGAAAGCATGATTTATGTGTTGGTAAATAAATTAAATTATAAAAGTAATATGAAACCTTACAAAGAACTAATGAGAGTAATCTTTGTCTTCTTTTACGTAACACACGCCACAATTGCTTAATGCTTACTGTGTGATTGAAATCAACACTGCAATTCAACTTACAGACTTCCTCCGAAGACCGTTAATGAGAGAAGAGACTTGTGGGGGCCCACATGTCTAGTAAACCAGTTAATACCATATAATATAATCATTTAATATTATGACTGGGTTATTCTTTTATTATTATTATTATTATTGTATATAGGTGTCTTCCTACTAAAATTATATCACTATTTACGGAGCATATATGATAAGGTTGGGGAAGAGCACCAGTGAGAAGGTTCTGGAAGAGGTCAACATGGAATTAGAGTCCCAAATAAATGAGGTATTTATAGTATATAATTCTTGTTACCTGTAGAAGGACTAGACGAAAAGTGACGTCAATATATATATATATATTATTTTTGTCATGATAATTATTCACAATTTCCAGAATCTAGTCCATTATGATTGGGTCAATATGTTACTTGATTGATGTTCGTATCTGCATGGACTGTTCGTTCGTCTGTCTTTTGATGCGAAAGTTGATTGCTGTATTTAGCCTTTCATATATTTAACATATATTTTTGTCAAATCAAGCCAAAACAAGCAGATTTTAAAATATTACTAAAAATAAAAAATTTAATGTAAAATAACTAATGTATAGATTACCAAAATAAATAAATAAATAAATAATGTGTAAACAAATACATATGTCTTGATTTATTTAAAAACAAGAACCTTAAATATATAAGCTTAATATTTGTTAGCAAAAAAAAAAAAGGTTATTATATAAGGCTTTTCCTTATTCCAACAACATGAAGATAATCTTTTGCATTTGATGCATGCATCGAAATTTAGAAATTTAAAAATGTGTAATAATTGAACTAACTTTCGTTGAAAAACTAAATTAAATCTTCGTTTTTATAAACAAAGGGGACCGGGAAAATTAATCTAAACGATGAGGCGTACATTATTACAACCCTGAGCTTATTTATGAAAATAAATAGTATTAATGGATGACATATTCCAAAATCATAATATGGCTGCAAGTAATTGAAGAAAATGGAAGGTATACAATTAGAAGAAATTGCAAATGTGTTGAAGATATAATTATTTTTCCTTTTCCCAAATCACAAGTATTTTTGCCCTTGTCTGTGGTATGTTAATGACCAATCAAGTGATCAACACGTTCCACATCCGTGATTGGTGATGTGTTTACCACTTACGTAGTGAATAGGTTCAATAGGAATTTAAATTTTAATGTGAAGACAAAAATTTAGGAAAAGGAAACAGTGTATAGATTTTGACTATTTTAAGTGTTTTCGTTAACAGAAGAATTAAAATCTTCGTTGCATCAAAAAAAAAAAAAAATCTGTCTTCTTCCACGTTACGCAAGTCTCGCGGAAGCCTCAGGAATGGTCATTATCATTGCTTACAGAGTACAGTCTGTATTTGGAAGAGAATTAGCAAATATCTTTAGCGTTGGTCCATATGTTTTGAAATTTGATCTTTAGCGTTGCTAATACTTTGGGTAAGAATCAGGATCTTGAGCAGATGATTGTCTATTCCGTAGGGTCAGAGTCTATCATGTTTTGAAAAAAAAGATATAACTGTATAATATCATGCATCTATTCTTATCCATTTCATAATTCAAACGATGTTGTTTAAAGTGTCAATTAATGTCTCGAGCTACTATGAATGAGTTCATATTGTCTTCTTTCTTGTTATCCATGTGCAGGACGCCTTAGGAAGCGCCATTACTTAATGTTTTGGTCATTATCTGTAGTCGTAAGCAACACTTTAATTTCATTTCTGTTCACTTGAGGGACAACCTAGATTACTTTGCCCTCTGGTATATGGCCACAACTCCACAAATATAATTTTCAGCTTTCAGGTTAGCTGTGATACTTGTGTGGTTTCATTTATAATGTACGTAGAAATTCAGTCCTGAATTTAAGAAATATTGTATATTTTGAAAAAGCATAAAATCTAATTAACACGTTTCAATGTAACTATCTAAAAAATTTTGATGAATTATTTATTAAAAAAATTTTGGGCCCTGTCGATAATTATATTAATTGTATTATTATTTGAGCCAATGAGTACACTTGCAAGGGAAAAAGTCATTTAACCGCCCTTGCCCAAACTTACTCAAAGTCAAGCCCTCTAAAATTTTGAAACATCAGTTCAATCCTTATGGGTTCCATTTGAGCAAAATTGAAATTAAGTTTTTCAGGGAATGAGTCAAATAACCCAACTCCCTACATTTGTTATTTATTTTCCATAAGCACTTGTTCAATGTCCCAACATGAGTTATTCATGGATCTAGCTTCACTTGTTTATATTCATAATAGTGTTATATTGTTAATGAGAGTTACAACTTTCACTTATCTTAGTTGTTCATTTTTCTTATATAAGTTATTTATACACCTAACTTCAATTATTTATACTTATAGTAGCGTTATATATGCTACTAATGAGAATTGCAAATGTCATCTACTTTAGTTGTTCCATCCATACATTAATTATTTATTTTCCCTACATGAGTTGATCATGTGTCTAGCTTCACATAATTTTATTTATAACGATGTTATGCTATTAATGAGAGTTACAAATTTTCCCTACACATCAATCATGTTTATTTTCAAGATATCAGTTATTCATTTTCTGTACATCACCTATGTTTATTTCGAGGAGATTGGGAAAAAAACTTAATTTCAATTTTAGAGGGTTTGACTGTAAATAAATTTGGAAGGGGGTTTTAATGAAAGTTTCCCTACTTGCAATATACGATGTTGTTGAGAGCAAGCACAAGCCCACTAATTCTTTCTTACTTGGTGAAGTAAGTGGAGTCCACGTAGAACCATTTTTAGTGTATATAGTTGATATAATTCCTCTCCATAAAGAAGTATTCCTTGCTACCCCAATTTTTCTCCCCACGAGTTCTTCACAATCCAATAATATTTTCCATCTTTTGAACCATATCAAACAATCAAAACTGCGTGATTTGTGTAAGTTGAATCCCACTCGCCATTCCCTCCGTCGAAAATTCCATAACCAAAAGCTAAATAGAGAAGCAATTAGGAAAAAATTCAAAATTATACGCACAATAAACAGCACATGCACAAAAATATTATTAATTCTTTAAAATTCAAGAACTGTATAATATCATGCATCTGCTCTTATTAATTTCATAATTAATACGTTGTTGTTCAATGTGTTAATGTCTCATACTACTATGAATAAATTGAGGGAAATATTTAGATACTTAGTCTAATATACTTAATGTACCTTTATTCAATCAAATCAAAACATGAGGATTTTAATGTATTAATAATATTAATAATAGAACTTTATTATAAAATTAATAATCCATAAATGAAACAAATGTTTTGATTTAATTGAAAACAAGCATAATAAATATATATAAGGCTAAATATATAAGTTTTTCCCATAAGTTTATAATTAGTTTTCTTTCTTGTTAATTGTTTATTTGAAATCTTGATCTAATGGTTAGGCGAAAAAAAAAAAGAGGAAAAAACAATCAAAAAGAAAGAGGAGAAAATCCTCTAGTGATCCATGTGCAGGCACTACTAGAAAACATGAGAATTGCAATTGGAATTTGATGCATTGCAATCAAAGGCGTCACAGAGCTGTTCTAAAATCTGTTCCAAATATTTGAAATGGAATTTGAGATGAAATATTGCATCTTTCAAAGTTTGTCTCAAATTTTGGGACAACCAATGGTGTCACAAATATTTTTGACGAAATTTGCAACTAATTATTTCGTCCCAAAGTGTTTACGACAGAATCTTGAAACAGGATATTCCTTCACAAAAATTCTGTCTTAATTTCATGATAAAGGTTTTGCAAAATATTTAATAATAGGCCGGCTTGTATGCCTTTTGACAAGGGTTTCACCTACTTTAATGCTAATTTTATCCAGCTATAAGATTACGTAACTATTAACCTCTAGAATTTTATGTTATTTCATCACATTTTCTTTAGATTCTAATATATTTTATTTCAATTGTATATATTTTGATTGTCCGAATTAGAAAAATGTACATTTTGCATTGGGTTTGCACATTTATTTTTACTTCAATGCTTTTGGGCTAATTTTGTGTTATTTTGGTTTAAAGTTTGATTATATTCATTTTTTGACCTTTTGTTGATGCTTTTGGAAGGCTTTTAGATAAAGAAATTAAGTGCAAAAAGGATAAGTTTCATTAACTATGAAAATAGTGCAAAATTATTAAAGTCATTCCAAAGTTGCAACTTTTACTGTTGTCAACAAAACGCTCCATTTTATTTGTCTAAAAATCTTGGGTAGGACACATAAATGTTGAGAGCTCAACTCAAAACGCAACCCACTCACTTGAAAACACTTTAGGAGCTTAGTTGTGCTACGGTTTGGGCATTAGAAGAGCTTGGAGTAAGGGATTTGAGTTTTGAAGATATTTAGAGCTCCTTTTCTTAGTTTTTCTATTCCTCTTCCCTTTCCTCCCTTGTCATCTAAAATGAGTTCAAGTATTTTGTGTATTTGTAGCTTGTGGATGACTATGAATAAATTAACATTTTGTTTTAGGATTATTTAGACCCTTTATATAGATTAACACTAAGTTTCTCCTCTCTTTTTGTAATTAATTATATATATGTGTTTATTTTACTTTTTTCTTAATGCTTCTATTCATTTGATTGATGCTTAAGAGGGCTAATTGAGTGTAGAACTTAGCCAAAATAACATAAGAACTTGATATGTGCATGTTGAATGGATAGTTTTGTTAGTAAGATAGAGATATACTTGCTAACCTTGTATAGTCACATTAGAGTTGGTGTTTAAAATTAAGTTTTATTGATTGTAACAAGAAATTGGGCAATTAATTTAGATAAATACTTGTTCATGACTTGAAAATGCTTGTTCAAATATATTTACAACCTTAGGTTAACACTTGTCTTCATTAAAAGCATTTATAAGAGGAGCTAATTTTAATGTTATGAGATATAAGGGAGATAAATAATCTTAAGTCCTAATTTGTGCTTGAAGTTCGTGAATCATTATCTTTTCTTTATTTTCTAGTGTTAATTTAGTTTTCTAAATCAACTTTTCCTATAATTATGTTTGGCTCAACTTAATTAAATTTGTTAAGTCTTTTGCTTTATAGTTGTTTTTCAAAAAATCTTCATGGGAATAATAATTCACTCACTTTGCATTATTTGCTATAATCCATGCACTTACAGAGTGTAACAATGGCTTATGATATAGTATCATTAGTTTATCTTTATAGTATGGATTTACATTTTCTTTCCCGATGAATATCTACTTGGCAAGTTAATTATGTAGCACTTTAAACATGATAATATATGTCTGAGTTATTTTTTTAAAAAAAAACCTTGTACCAATTGTTCCATGCACATTATTAAAATTTAATTAGATTGTCAAAATACCCTTCCATAAATAATTTGATGACCAAAATGTTTTTTAATTCAACCAATCTAGAGTAAGTAGTTAACATGAATGTATGTTTCGTTAAAGGGTGACATCACCACTCTTTTGACATTTGAGAGGTGATATTATTACTTTCACAAATAGTTTAGGATAACTAGTGCTCTGTGTGAAAGAAATTAGTGATAAAAATGAACGTTAATTGAGAGAACAATTTTAAACTTTGCTATTTTTGAACTAGATATTTAAGTTACTTGATTTGTTCGCTCTCCTAAAACTTAAGAAAATAACAAATAAAATTATGTTTTGAGAATAAATAATTATGAAGTGCAAGTTGGAGCAGGGTTCATTTACTAAACTCAAATCACTCACTTAAATCACATTTATTTTATTTGCATGTCAAGTCCGGCTCTCATCAAGTTAACACGATATTCTATGATAAAGACACTTGGTCGTGATTTTTGTGATTCAAGAACCATACAAGGAAGTTTATATTCATTATATTGATATACTTAATTAATTATTCATTATATTGATATACTTAATTAATTAATAGTAATTTGTCTGTCACACTCATAAAACATGGTAAATGAGGACTATTCTGGCTTGAATTTATGTGTAATATCTTGCAACCGACTTAGTTTGTATATGATTAGTTTCTTACAATTATTTCTCGCTCAATTGACAATTAACCGATGGCTTGAGAATCGGTAATAAGTTGGGTTTCAGAATCAATCCTTCAAAGAATCGATCGACTCTTTTCACAGGCTGAATATATTGATCATGCCCATTTATAAATCTCCGTAGGACTCTAACATTGAAATTATAATAGAAAAAACATAAAAATATTCTATTATGATTAATAATTTCAGACTCTTAGACAAGAGTTCATAACAAGATACAAAATAAAATAAGAACTAACGATGGTGGGTCTAGCGAAATAAGCAAGCCCCTCACAATGTGGTAAATCTAGTTTCAAATCCCATTGAGAGGGGTGCCTACACATAATTAAGTATTTGACTATGCCTCAAATAGAATTATCTCCATCAAGAGGAGTAATAAAAAGAACTACATGGAATAAGAAATTGACGGTAGAACTGCTAACTAGCTAGTGCATTAGTGTATAATTGGGTATGTAGAGAAAGCATTAATAGAGCAAACTCCATATGGTAAATCTGTATTCCTACGGATCAAGAAGTATCCTTCCATTCCCCAATCTTCTCCCCACGAGTTCTTCACAATCCAATAATCCGTTCCCTCTTTTGAATCATATCCAACCATCAAAACAGCATGATTTGGACGAGATTGTGTGGGGCAAGTATCAACATCGATTATCCCCTAACAAAATAAAATAGAAATAATTAGGAAAAATTAAAATTGATGATTAATTATCAACTTCAACCTCATGGGTTACGGGTGAATTAATTTTGAATTAATATACTTAAATTTTGGGAAACTAGGTTATACATATACATATACATATATATATATATATATTAGAAAATCGCCAAAAATTTTGATTCCCGTAATGTAAATAAGCACTCCCTCTGGCCTTTAATATCAGACAAAGTTAGAAAAGTTAATTTTTTTTTTCAATTTTACCCCTTATTTATTTATTATATATAGCTTGAATTCCTAGCAAACAGTAATTCATTATGGTTATTAATTGTAAAGAAGGAAAAGAGTTTGAAAATTTGAAAATTTTTTAAGAATTTCAAGGATATAACTGGCTACTTTTTTTTTTTTTAATTTAGTGTGAAGTAGGTTAAGTTTGCTTCATTTAAAGACCGGACGGAGTAGAACAGTGAAAAACTTAAACTATTGAATGGGGATTAAGCGAAGACTTACACCCTTATAAAATTGAATATCTGTGGCATACAAAACCACAGTAATAGGTTGTTTAGCAGTGGCACGCAAGAGAGCAGCATCCGATTGTGCTACAGTGTCATAGCCATTAATTTTCACAGTTCCACTGTGCTGAAGAAACATGTAGAAAGCACAAGTCAAATAAAGAGAAGATAATATTATACTTCAAACTTTGACCAAACTATAAGAATGATTTTGTTTGTTTTTGTGTGAGTGAGAGACAGAGAGAGAGAGGGACGGAGGGGAATAGAACAAACCATGGTGGCTCTGCAATAATCCTGTTGAGCTTGATAAGGATAATCAGCTTCCGTACTAATCCACCATTTCTGATAACCCATTCATAGGCACTCTTGGGAGATCCACCCGAACAACCTTGGCTCATTGAATCGCAATGTACAAGTTCTTGTTCAGAAAGTGAAATGAGTTCCTTTCTCTTGATTGCATGCATTGATTCAATTGCTCCAACGGTTCCAAATGCCCAGCAACTTCCTACGAACAAGGAAACATTATTCTATCAGTCCAATTATCGATTCTCCAGAGAATCTAAGTTGCACACACAGGTAACAAGAGCAACTCACCACATTTAAGTTGGTTTTTAGCAGGAGTCACAGCATCCTTTTGTCTCCAATCCATGGAATCAGGTGCTTCACACGACTCCGTTTGATTGTCCGACCTCGAGGTAGCCGGGGCGATGGTGGTTGGAATCTCCAGTGGACGTAGGTACACTAGCTTAAACTCCTCAGGACTCATATCAGCAAACTTGTTGAGTCCCAAACGAATCCCATATGGTGATGAGTTGGATCTGTTAGCATTTGTCTCTGTGATATGCTTCAGATTCTTTTGGAATATTCGGAATCTTCTCTCACTCTCTTCAGAGTTTGGGTAGACTCTTCCATGCTCCATCTTCCATTGTTGGAACATTTCAAAGTCTCCTTCACCCTCTAAAGGGAGAACAGATTCATTGGTAGGGACTCCTGAAGAAAGACATATGAGAATGGAACAGCAGGTCAAGGAGAAAAGGAACAGAAGCCTAGTATTGTAGAAAGCCAAGCTTCTTTGATGTTTCAGGTACTGAGAATTGAAACTTCAAAAGAGCTTGCATGGAAGTGAATTCATCCATGAGGCCTATTTATAGTGTATAATTCTTGTTACCTGTAGAAGAAAAAGACACAAAATGACGTCATTAATATATATTTTTCATTTGACTTCACAATTTCCAGCTTCTAGTCCGTTATTGATTGGATCGGCATGTTACTGGATTGATGTTCGTTTATGCATGGAGTGTTCGTTCGTTTGTCTTTTGATGCGAAAGTAGATTATTGTATTTAATTAGTCTTGTATATATTTACAATTTTTTGTCCAATCAATAATTTTTGAAATGCTAATAATATTAATAATAAAAATTTATTGTAAAATAAATAATATATAAAAGACACACATGTCTCGATTTATTTAGAAACAAAAACCTTAAATATATAAGGTTAGTAGTTATTGGCCAATATATATATATATATATATAAGGCTTTTCCTTATTCCAACAACATGAAGATAATCTTTGCATTTGATGCATGCATAGAAATTTAGTAATTAAGTATAAAAATGTGTAATAATTGAAATGAGAATAAATATATTGAAATAGACATGTAACTTTCGTTCAAAAATTAAATTAAATCTTCTTTAATTATTTATAAGCAAAAATGACCCGGAAAATTAATCTAAACGATAAGACGTACATGATCACAATCCTTTTCTTATTTATTAAAATAAATACTGTTAATTGATAACATATTCCAAAATCATAATCTGGCTGCAAGTAATTGAAGGAAATGGAAGGTATATAATTTGAAGAAATCGCAACAATTTTGAAGATATAATTATTTTTCCTTTTCCCAAATCACAAGTACTTTGCCCCTTGTCTATGGCATGTTAATAACCAATCAACTGATCAACACGTTCCACATCCGTAATTGGTGATACGTTTACCACTTACGTTGTGAATACGTTCAGTATGAATTAAAATTTTAATGTGAAGACAAAAATTAAGGAAAGGGAATCAGTGTATAGATTATGACATATTTTAACTGTTTTCGTTAACAGAAGAATTAAAATCTTCGCTGCATCAAAAAAAAAAAAAATCTGTCTTCTTCCACGTTACGCATGTCGCGGAACCCTCAGGAAAGATCATTATCTTTGCTTACAGTCTGTATTTGAAAGAAAATCAGAAAATAGCAGTGCTGTAATAACTGGATTACATGTTGGTTAATAAGTTTCGAAATTTATGAGTGTCAATGTCTCAAACTACTGTGAATCAGTTCATATTGTCTTCTTTCTTGTCATCCTCGTGGAGAACGCCTTGGGAAGCGCCATTAATTAATATTTGGGTCATCATCTGTAGTCGTAAACAACGCTTCCATTTCATTTCTATTCACTTGAGGGACAACCTAGATTGCCTTGCTCTTTGGTATATGACCACAAGATATTTTTCAGGCTTCAATTATAATATGCGTAGAAATTCAGTCCTGAATTTAAGAAATCTGTTATTTTTTGAAAAAGCATCAAATCTAACTAATTAACACGTTTCAATGTAACGACGTAAATTTTGTTTGATGAATTATTTTTTGGAAAATTAATGTATAAATATTTTATTTAGGTTCCGTGAAGAAATCATATATGATGCTTTATTTAAAAAGAATTATATCTTGCTGGAAGGCTCACTATAGTTCAATCTGCTACTTTATGGCAATTTATCATATGCAAAATAAGAAGTTTCCTGTTGGTTGTTAACCTCTAGAATCTCATATCAGTTGAGCATATTTTACTTAGATTTTAATATATTTTGACACAATTGTATGTATTTTAATCACCCAAATCAAGAAAATGTGCACCTTGCTTTAGATTTACATACTTGACTTTAATATAATATTTTTGGGCTTAATCTATGTTATTATTGTTTAGAATTTGGTTGGAAGCTTTTCTAGACATTTGGTGATGTTTTTGGAAGGTGTTAGGATGAAGCAATAAGGTGCAAAGATGACTAATCATGCTAAAATATATAAGTGTGCAAAAAAGAGAAAAATCGTCACTTTCACTACCAAAAACATTTGTTTTGCAGCTGATTTTGCCCTAGTTTTGGGATGGAATTGTCATTGCAAGTGGAATTTGGTATAGAATTTGTGACAAATAACCTTTCATCGATATTTTGATGGTCATGATTTTATTTGCAACTTTTGTCACTGACAGCAAAACATTGCATTTCATTTAGCTAAAAATGTTAGGGTTTGATGTATATATGTTTTTGGTTCAAATTAGAACTCATTCTTCATATATTGAGTCACCATTTGAAGCTTTGTGTATGCAGGTTTTGGAGTTGGAAGAGCTTGGAGCATGGGAATGAAATTAACTTAATAGATGCTTTTGGTGTTGTTGTTTCTAGTTTTAATATAAGTTTTAAAATTAACTTAATCCAACTAATTGTGTTTTGCTTAATTTAATTGAATTCATAATGTCTTTTATTTGACCATATTTTTAATACAAATTAAATCTCCATGGGAAAGATACTTTATTCACACTTTATTACTTGTCACAGTCCTTGCACGCATGAATTGCAACATTAGTATCTGTAATGAGCTTGAAAAGATCCAAAGGGATTGTGTGGGTCTCAACAGAGGAGAAGAGAAGGATTCATCCTTTGAGCTGGGAGGTGATGTGTCACTCGAAGGGGATGGGGGTTTTGAGTTGAAGGAGATTCATTTGATGAATAAGGCTTTATTGGGGAAGGTAGGATTGAATGTTTTAGCAAAGCCTAAAAATCTTTGCTTAATAATGTTGTGAATGAAGTATGGGAGATTTGTATAAAAAAAACAAGAAGAAGAAGTACGGGAGATAGGAGGATTTGTTTAAGGAAGCTATTGTCAAGGATACGAATTCAGTTGTCTGGTAGAGCTTGGTTCATATTTGGCCAAAAATAGTTGACAATCTATTTGAGGAGGGAGGAAGGTGAGTTTCTAGTTTGATACATGGCTTGATAATGGGTGTCTGTTAATGAGAGGTGTATAAGGCAGCCAAAACGGAGATTGTTGAAATGTAGAGTCAATGATCTTATGAATGTGAATGGAAATTGGGAATTGATGTATTTGAAAGATTATTTGGATGATGCTGACATTAAGAAATTGCGAGCAATAGTGCCATCTGATTGTGGAAATGTTGTGATGAGGTTAGGTAGAAGTGGTGTGTGGGGAATTCTTATGTAGCGGATGATATGTGTATAAGAAGATTGGGGGAGTTCAATGTTGAGTGTGAGAAGGTGTGGAAGAAGATTTGGTAGCAGAAGGGACATAGGAGAGTACAGGTATTCTTGCGGATGGCGGCTCTTGACAAGTTATTCACTTCTGCCAAAAGAACTAGAATAATAGGTGGATCACCTTTATATTGCAGATGTAACGGTAAGGAGGAATACATTATGCATGTGCTAAAGGATTGTGTGGAAGCACAATGGGTTTGGAAGGCCCTTGGGAGAAGGAAGTTTCTAATAGCTTTTTCATGTCGCAAAGGAATAATTAATATTGGTTGTTGTCGAATCTGAGTTTATTAGAAGAATGGGAAAATGACAATTAGGGACCCAAAGGTCATTAATTACAATTAGGGACCCTAAATTATTGAGATCCCAATAATGGACCATGACCCTTACTTGAAATTAAAAAATGTGAATAGTTTAAAATGCCCCATAGAAATGACTTTAGTAAATTTTCAAGTAACTATTATATATTCACAAGTATTCTTGAACAATTTTAAAAGTAAATTTTAGTTTTACATTGGAAAACAATTTATTCCAAACTGTTGTTCCTTGGTTTTCCAATTGATATTAACAATATTTTCATTCCGTGATAGTAATTTCAACAGTGTCATTTATTTATTTTCTAAGTGGTTTACCTATATATTAATAAGCATAAAATTTCATAAGTGACTAGATTCATATTCAAAAATGACTTTAGTTTATTTCCAACTATTGTATACTTACAAGTGCCCTTGGAAAGTTTTAAAAGTGAATTTTAGTTCTATACTAGAAAACAATACATGCCCAACTATTGTTCTTCATTTTCCCAACTTAGATTAACAATATTCCCATTTTATCATAGTAATTTCAATAGTGTTATTTCTTTATTTTTCGAGTTGAGGGTAATTTTGTAAACTCATGTATGTTTTTTATTTTAAGTAAGGACCATGGTTCATTATTAGGATTTCAATAATTTAGGATCCTTAATTGTAATTGATGACCTTATGGGTCCCTAATTGTCATTTTCCCTAGAAAAATGGAGTTTGGTGCTTGCGGTTTTGTGCTAGTGGTTGTGGCATTGGAGGAATAAGGTATTGTTTGAAGTTGGGTATGAGATGCCCAAGCTCCCAGGGAATTTTATAACAAAATAAATAAACAATGTATAAAAAATAACTAATGTATAGATTACTGAAAAAATAAATAAATAATGTATAAAAAATAACTAATGTATAGATTACTGAAAAAATAAATAAATAATGTACAAAAAAATAAACATCTTGGTTTATTTAGAAACAAGAACCTTAAATATATAAGGTTAGTATTTGTTAGCCTAAAAAAAATTAGAAGGTTATTATATAAGGCTTTTCCTTATTCCAACAACATGAACATAATCTTTTGCATTTGATACATGCATAGAAATTTAGTAATTAAGTATAAAAATGTGTGATCATTGAAATGATACAGAAACAAATATGAGAGATTGATTTGTCTAAATCGTGGTGCATTGGCCTCTCTTCATTTATTATTATTTATAAACAGGACACTAAATACTAGAACAAAAAGAATAAGACATCTAGCATGTACAGATCTTTTCAACAAATAATCAAATAAGCCTACAACAGAACAGGCA